TTTTATTGAATAAATTAATTTTATAAACACTTAATCTATCGCACAATTGATGAACAGTCGGCCGACAGCTCTGGTAGTAATCGATGGCAAACACATTACACGTATAAAATAATTGTAAAATAATGTATTCAAATAAAAAATAAATTATTTCAGTAATTGTGGGCATATTTTGTCGATAATTATAGGAAATGTGTGCCAAACAAAAACACGTCGAGACAAACGACTCGCACAGACATAGAAATGGCAAAAATCCTAATTCACTATTCATTGTCTCTTTCATTGACTGTATTTGCGATAATTTACGCTCAAAATCAATATAAAAGTTGCGATTTCTCGGTTCATGTGATGTGTTTTGTGACAAAAAATGTTTGAAACAATCTTGTTCAATCAAATGTATGCCGTATGCCATGAGTACCAGTAGTAATAGTGTGGCCACAATCCATCCAAAACAATAAAACGCCCATGCCATTTCAAACAAACAAATACTCACCACGTTGACATTATGGTTAAGTGAGTGGTTTAGCAAATCTACCGTTATAAAAACTGCGATCATAAGTATACACATAATTAACCACACCACGATAAATAGTTTATTTACCAAGCAAAATGATTTACGCATATGTAATGGTATATTTCTCGCAATTGTGGTAAATAATTCGATGCATGGTTTAATTTTATAGATATAATAAATGTAACTTATAATAATGAAGCACAATTTACAAAACCAACTAATTGTGAAATTATATAATTTTAAATCTCGGTGAATCATTTCTATAGTTGAGGTCCAAAAGCAATACATTAGAAAAAGTAATGTTTGAAATTTAAATACATTGCAAACAATTATTATAAATACATTGTTGCTATTAGTATTAATATTAAAACCATAAAATAGAAATATATTTAGATATTGACAATAGTTGCAATCATAATACATCTCATTGCGTAACATGGTTATATTTTATAAAATTAAATGCTGTAGTTTAATTTCAAAACTAGTAACTATTTTATATTTTAATTATTATTTAGTTATAACTGTGATCTACTAAAAATGATCTACTCAAATCAATATTACTATTTATACTAGCTAAATATGTTTTTTATAAAGATTGCAACATTCCCAACTATTAACAATATGTAGTCAAGAGATTTATTACATTAAATTTGTTTATTTATTATATTAGTTATTATATTAGTTATTAAAATGTTCAGTGCATTTGAATAAATGATTGTCAAATATACAAAGTTATTATTAATTATAAATATCTCTCAATGTAATAACTATATTTCTATCATTTATCATGTAATTACTTTATTAAATTTTGTAAATATATGCATTTATCAAATTGCTATAATAGTTATAACAATTTTTCATGCAAATTATGTCAAATATGCTATAAAATATTAAAACATTAATAAATATACAAGGTACTTTCTAATAGATTGCAACATATAAGAGAAATGACAAATAGTCTTTTCTATACTATGGTTTTATGTATTAATAAGTTAGTAGTTATGAATATAGGAAACAAATATTGTTACATATAAAATATCTTTTTTTACTTAATTAATAATTATTATTCACATCAAAATTAAACTTATGCAATACTATGAAATAAAACTAGCGTAATAATTGAATATACATTATGGTAAATAAGATGACAGTAGCTGCAAAAGTAAATATAAAACTCCTATTAATTATAAACACATTCCAAGCCTTGTACTCGGAGTTATAGTAATAACTACTTTATATAAAAATCCATTGAATAAACTATTTTTATAAACTTTACTGTAACAATAAATTAATTTTAAAATCTGATTTATTTAATTATAACATCTCAAAAAATAGGATAACCATATGTCTTCTCAGTAAAATTCAGCTTATACAAATACAATTATTGTAACATTTGAATATACATTATGGTAAACGATATGACAGAACCAATAAATGTAAATAAAAATTTCTTATTGATTACAAATACACCAAAAGCCGTGTACTCGCAGTCAATATAATTACATACTCTATAATACATTAATGAATTGCTTTCATAAATCAATAAATTATTGTAAATTTGATGGACAGTTGGCCTACAATTCTGATAGTAATCGATGGCAAAGACATAACACATGTATAATAATTGCAAAATACTGTATTCAAAAAGATAATAAAATATTTCTGTAGGACTTTGGCTATAAATGAGTGAAATATGTGCCAAACGGAGTACTGTTGACACAAGTGACTCGCAAAACCATAGGAATGGCAAAACTCCTAATTCACTATTCATTGTCTCTTTCATTGACTGTATTTGAGATAATTTGCGCTCTAAATCGGCGTAAAAGTTACGATTTCTTACATTGTTTTGACGAATTATTTTATTAAAACAATCTTGTTCAATTAAATGAATTCCAAACGTTTGAAGCACCACTAGTATTATTGTAGCCACAGTCCAGCCTAAGAAATAAAATGTCCATGTTAACTCTAACAGAGAAATTTTAGCTAGGTTAATGTCACTCATAAGTGATAGATTCTGCATATCGATTGATATAGATGTTACAGTGGCCAAAGTGCATAATATTAACCATGCTGCTATAAATAGTTTATTCACTCTGTGATAAACAACCTTTTTGTTATTAGGTATATTTTTATTTATCCTGGTAAATAAATTTAAGCACCTTTTTATTTTACATGAAGTATAAATGTAACTAGTGACAATCAGAATGATTTTAATGAACCAGGTGATCAAGAAATTGTAATATTTTACATCTCTATTTAAAATCTCGATCATTGAATTAGTGATTGTATAAATTATTAAAAGCACCGTTTTCAATTTGAATGCATTGCAAATAATATATTTATAAATTTTGTTATTATTATCTGGGTTAATATTAAAACCATAAAACATTAGCACGTACAAATATTGAGAATAGCTTTTATTATTATGATCCATTTCTAAATTAAACATGTTTATCTTAATATTACAATCTAGTAGTGTTACTCAAAAAATATTATTTGTGCAAGATCAATAAAACATAATTTATATTTAATCTTTAGTAAAAATTGTTTTGTAGATAACACAGCAAGGTCGGTCAAATAATTCAATAAAATACTTTATGATATAAGGGTAAATGATTAATTAATTTTTCAAATAAATATCATTTATATTATTATTTTATATTTTTAATTTTTTTATTATACAAATTACAAGTTTATTTTTCATTAAAATGGTTAATTTAATAATTAATTATGATAATATAATAAATATAAATCAAACTTTATTTATAAATTACAATTAAACCACCTAATAATTAATTAGTGTTAAGATAATAAAACATTTAAATTTGTAATAAATTATATTAAAATTTGTGATATATTCAAATTTGTTAATATTAAGCATATAATCATAAGTAGTTGAATCAATCGGTGATAGATGTTAATGAATTTGAATTTCACTATAAATAATTAGCTAGTTACTAGCCTAGTATATTTATCGCAACACTTGAATATACATTATGGTAAATGATATGACAGAACCAATGAATGTAAATATAAAACTTTTATTGATTACAAATACATTAAAAGCCGTGTACTCGCAGTCAATGTAATCGCGGATTTTGTAATAAATTAATGAATTTCGTTCAAAAACTAATAAATTGCTACAAAATTGATGTACAGTTGGCCGACAATTTTGGTAGTAATTGATGGCAAACACGTAACACATGTACAGTAATTGCAAAATAATGTATTCAAAAAAATAATAAAATATTTTTGTAGGACTTTGTCTATAATTAAGTGAAATGTGTGCCAAACGGAGTACTGTTGAGACAAACGACTCGCAAAACCATAGAAACGGTAAAAATCCTAATTCACTATTCATTGTCTCTTTCATTGACTGTATTTGCGATAATTTTTGCTCTAAATCGGGATAAAAGTTACGATTTCTTAAATAGTTGTGTTGAAATATTTTTTCAAAACAATCTAGTTCAATTAAATGTACGCCATATGCATATAATAATAGTAAGAGTAAGCTAGCTACAGTCCAACCAAAACAATAAATAGCCCATGATAATTCCAATAGGCAATTCTTAACTAAGCTAAGAGTAGAGATAATCGATGGACTAATCAAGTTAATCGAGATAAATACCACAGCCAGTAATGTACATAATAATAGCCAAAGTGTAATACATAGTCTGTTTGCATTGCGAAATGCATTGTATTTGCCGTTTGGTATGTTTTTATTAATCTCGCTGAATAATTTTAAACACTTTTTTAGTTTGCATGTAATATACATGTAGCTAATGACTATCAGGATCATTTTATTGAACCAAGTGATCAAGAAATTATATAATTTTATATCTCTACTAAAAATTTCAACCATTGAATAACAAACGCTATACATTAAGAAAAGCAATGTTTTTAATTTAAATGCATTGCACAGAATATTTTGATAAATTTTATTATTTCTAAGGTAGATATTAAACCCATAAAATAACAAAATATACAAATATTGAGAATTAATTGGATGATCATGATCCATTTCAATAGTTAACATGATTGTCAAAAGTATACAGTATAGTAAGTTATAGCTGCAGTTTTAGCAGCAATTTAAATAAAATATAATTCAATTTATATTGCCTTAAATGAGGGAAAATCATAAATTTAGTACAGTCAGACCTCTGTCTTGTCAATCATCTATGCTGTCAACTCCTCTATGTTATCAACCAAATCCCAAAACCCACAGTACATAGACATAATGTTAAATTAACCTCTATGTAGTCAACCCCTCTATGTTATCAACCAAATTCCCCTGCTAAATTTTGTTGATAACATAGATGTTTCACTGTATTAGGCTTATCAAAAATTATTTGAAAGTGCATATATCGATTTTTTTTGTAAAGATAACAAGGACAAATAAATAATAATGTTTAATGTGATTTTATCGGAAAATTTAATATTTGCATTATTATTATACATTTAAAAAGCTTTTTTTTCAAAAATAATAATATTAATTAATTATGTTACGCCTACTAAAATGATAAATATAAAATATAATTACTTGTTTAAACCACATAAATAATTAATAATACAGTACATATTTATTTATCTAGTGTATTTTTAACAATGCATTTCCTAAACAATTTTGCGGTGAACTTTTCAAAACACTTTAATTCAATAGTTTATTTATATCCTAGTTCAAATAAATTATTTATCAACAAAACACTAAATTAAATATAATCCAATAAAAACAGTTAAACTAAAAACAAGTAATTAAAAAAGCATAACCAGAGTCGGGACAAATATGTCGGGAACAGGTTGGGAGCGGGGAATGAGTGCCTCAAAGGGCATACCGGGCGCCGCCGTCGGACGAGAAGTTAATACCCGTCACAAACGAGGCCTCGTCTGAGGCCAGGAATAGTACGGCGTTCGCGATGTCTATGGACTCTCCCACGCGAGACAACGGGTACTTTGACGCCAACTCTTCATACCTGGCATCCGATTGGCTCTTTGAATAGCCGACTACTTTCAGGAATTGGGTTTTCACGTGACCCGGACTTTGAGATAAACACATCATGATTTTTTTTGTTTTGATAATTGTATATGGTAACATTGATACTTTTATACTTACTTGATTGCGTTTACCCTGATGCCTTTAGGACCTAGCTCTAGTGCCAGACATTTGGTAAACATGTCCAGGGCGCATTTCGACATACAGTATACGGAAAAACCGCTAAACTAGATGATGATCAAACATAACCAGATTAATTATGCTAATAATAGCTAGATTAATATTTATAATTATATAATTAATTAATGTAATTACTGGCTTCAGTCCAGCTATGCTCGACATGTTTATGATATTGCCTTTAGTTTTCTTTAAGTGTTCAACCGATAGATGAGTTAAGTAGACGACTGAACGCAGGTTTGTGTCCATTATATCCTTGTATTTGTCCATAAGTGCGGAGTCCGTAATGACTGATCCCTTACCAAACCCGGCGTTGTTGACCAACACATCGAGTTTGCCATAGGTTTTAATAGTGGTGTCAATCAGTCGTTTGCAGTCATCATCTTTGCTGACATCTCCGACCACTTCCAGAGGTTTCAGGCCTTTGGGCGATATCTTAAGACAGTCTTTGGCCACATCTGACAGTTTGTCGGCATTACGTCCAGTGATGACCACTTGTGCGCCGTTTCGGGCAAACTCTACGGCAGTGGTGGCGCCGATACCACCGCTCGAGCCCGTGATTAACACTACTTTACCGCTAAAATCTCGTGAATTAAACATTATTTTATATTTAACTAAAAACTTTATTATAATGTAATACAATTAATGCTAACTTAACGACAATATAAGGCTTCACAAAAAATTAACTTAAAGAGGCGGTCAAGTGATTCGGCACCTCGTAGTTTTCTCATATCTTTTGATCTGTTAGAGATATTTAGATTCTGTAAGTAGTATCAAGCGAGTTTGAACGGGTTCAGAAAAAAATAACGTCAGCCATACCTTACCAAGATATGGCCATTTTAGGGGGACGTAACTTCTGGGAGACCCATATGGGTCGGGACATCAATGACGTCACTTAATTGTGAACATATTGAGTCGTAATTGTTGTAAGACCAAGATGGCCGCCATCAATGTCTTACCAAGAGAATGATGTTTTGCATTGCGTCATCGAAAAGTCTTACCATGATTACGTAATCACAACAAACAAAATGGCCGCCAATGTAAAGGTAGTGTTATGCCTTTACACCAAAATTAGATCACGTGACTTTATGGTAATACCATAAAGTACGTCAAGTAATTTATGTTAAATAACAATATTAGGTATTTGAATACCAAATAGTTTTGATAAATAAAAAATTACAGTTTTTAAGTTCAAAATAATAAATTTATTAGGAAATGTTTTTAATTACAATAATTAAGTATAGTTTGTTTTTCAGTCAAAAGCTTACATAATTCACTTTCAGTCATTGTAATGGATGAGTCTTTTATCTGTCCAAGGGGATCCGTTCTTTTTAGGCCAATAGTCGAGAGATATTTCTTCGTCGGGTGATGTTCATAAGTGATGACACGTGTGTTTTTGTTCAATTCAATTGGCATTGATTTCTCCATATAGCCAATCAGCGTTAAGCGCGCTGTTATCAGCATTGAGCGCTAAGCCAATCAGCGATAAGCGCTGCTCACATGATTACTAGTATATAAGAGCCAGCACTTGTGCTTCAACGTCAGTGCGCTTCTGTATTAACTGCTCATCGCATTACATTTGTGTCATTTTATTATTGTGTGTCAACAAAATGTCTTTTAATACAAAATTCAGTAAAGTGTTTGCCGAAAGCAAAGGAAACTCAAAACATATAACTGTTTCTGAATTAAATGGCGGCCATTTCATCGATATTAGATCAGCATTTGATTTGGATGGTAAGATTCAAATGACTAAACGTGGCGTTAATTTAAAGCCCGAAGAGTTTGAGGAGTTGTGTGGCTATATGGAGAAATCAATGCCAATTGAATTGAACAAAAACACACGTGTCATCACTTATGAACATCACCCGACGAAGAAATATCTCTCGACTATTGGCCTAAAAAGAACGGATCCTTTATATAAAAATAAAAGTATAAATTAATATTCAATTTATTAAATTAAACATAGTTAGTAGTATCAAGCGAGTTTGAGGAGTTGTGCGGCTATATGGAGAAATCAATGCCCATTGAATTGAACAAAAACACGCGGGTTATCACTTATGAGCATCATCCGAAGAAGAAATATCTCTCAACTATTGGCCTGAAGAGAACGGACCCCCTTGGACAAATAAAAGCCTCAACCATTACAATGACTGAAAGTGAATTATGTAAGCTTTTGACTGAAAAACAAACTATACTTAATTATTGTAATTAAAAACATTTCATAATAAATTTATTATTTTGAATTTAAAAACTGTAACTTTTTATTTATCAAAAATATTTCGTATTCAAATACCTAATATTGTTATTTAACATAAATTACTTGACGTACTTTATGGTATCTTTATAAAGTCACGTGATCTAATTTTGGTGTAAAGGTATAACACTACCTTTACATTGGCGGCCATTTTGTTTGTTGTGATTACGTAATCATTGTAAGACTTTTCGATGACGCAACGCATAACACCAATCTCTTGGTAAGACTTTATCGATGACGCAATCAAAAACATCAATCTCTTGGTAAGACTTTATCGATGACGCAATCAAAAACATCAATCACTTGGTAAGACATTGCGGCCATCTTGGTCTTACATCAATTACGACTCAATATGTTCACAATTAAGTGACGTCATTGATGTCCCGACCCATATGGGTCTCCCAGAAGTTACGTCCCCATAAAAAGGCTATATCTTGGTAAGATATGACTGACGTAATTTTTTTCCGAACCCGTTTAGACTCGCTTGATACTACTAACTATGTTTAATTTAATAAATTGAATATTAATTTATACTTTTATTTTTATATAACTATAGGTGATATAAATTCAAGAGGAATGCTTGACAAGTAAGTGTGCATTTTATTATGTATTTATTTTTAAAAATGCTATTTTTAAACATACGTTTCCCTATCTCTCACTCACTAATACCCTATTCATCCCATACTTCCTGCCCATTCATCCCATTGTATGTAAAATTTATAAATAAAATGATTGATTATCATTATAAATATGAAGTACAGTATTATATGTACACTAAATAAGTCCAATAGTGTACTGCAATTCACACATTTTGATGCTCGCAATAATAAATGCCATAAAATATTGCACATTATTTGCACTCAAAAATACATTTCCAATATTTCTAATAAGAAAATAAGAAAAATAATAAAATTGTAAGAAAAATAAGCAAAAGAAATATTGGAAATTGTTTTTGTTTAAAAATAAAATAATGTTATGGTACAAATATGTGCTTATTTATACAATACGTTTACCCAATATATTTGTAATTATTGAGAATAAGTTATAATGTATTGTAGATGTTAAGAATTTTAAACTTAATCGTTAGATTTTAACTTTAAATAGTAATTAAATATTTACATTAGAAATGTTAAATTAATATTGATTTCAAAAATTATATGCCAAGATTATACATTACTCTTATACATTATATTTTATTGATTGTGCATATTATATCAAATATGCTATCGCAATATGATCAAGGAATCTAAATTGTCATCAACCAAAATTATTAAATGATCTAGTTATTATAAAACCAAGGCATATATGCCCTAAAGCATGCATATTAATCTATAACCTATTGTTGACCCCCATTGACCACGTCTACCACGTAATTGTGTTTCTTATAAAAAGACCCGGACATCGATCTCCACACATATACTTATATACAGTACTGTATAATACGATACAATCCATCCCTAAAGCAATCCTAACAATGATTTAT